TAATTTTAATTAACTATCTACGCGAACCAACTCAATTCGAACACGAGTGGAATTTCTTACGCGCAAAAAAAACACGTATAACGGGAATGGACGCGCTCTGGCAGTTAAACGTGAGTAATTATCCCCTTGAATAACCCACCAAAAATTACGAAAACCACCCAATCATGAGTGAAAAAGGGGGGAATCGGCACCTCACAATATGGATTATGCGTCACAATCACCGTTTTAACAGAATAAAATGCGACGTACGGGGCTAAAGACCCCGTAGTCGAATAACTAAAAGCCGAAATGAATTCGGAAAAATAAATAAACCGAACTAAAAACTCACTTTGGGTTTCTTACCCCTCTTTGGGGTGTTCTTCGCCATCGTGTAGATACACTTATCCAAATATAGGCACTCTAATTCCTAATATAGGCACTGTACTGGCACTAGTTCTGGTGGGGTCAAGGGCCAACGCCGAACTGCCGAACTCATGAGCGTCTCGGGACACCTCAGAGCACGGAATTCACCGCTCAATCACCCGAATTTTGATTGGTGCGGACACGCCCCTCGAAGGTGCGAATCTAACGACAATTAATCGCGACTCTCACGACCTGGCGCGATTATTCAAATCTCACCTAACTCTTTTCTAATCACCTAACACAAAACTAGTTCCTTTTTATTAATTATTACGCGAGACTAGGCCGAACTGATTGTCGTTCGGATAATTACGAAGGGTCTTTGGCGCTTCCCACGGATCGGATCTCCGGGATTTTCGGGGTTAAAAGACAAGTTACCGGCACTTGTTATAACTTCACTACTAATTCCTGCTCAACTCGTTTCTCTCATCAAAAACCCAAAGGCAACCTGGCAATTCGTTGGAGACGATGGTTGCACTCGCTCCGAACGACCTTTCACCCAAAACAAAAACGTAACCAATTAACCCCTAAAAATCCAACGAAATTGGAGCGCCGGCATTTCAGCCGGACTTATTCGATTACCCGCAAGATTAACAATAGGGTGAACCCCATAAAAAGAACCGGATGACTCTATAATTTTGGCCCTTCTTCACGATAATTTTTCTGGGCCCTCAAACACACGTAATTACTAATCTTTACTAATAAACGGAACCGATAACTCTAACCGAAAATAAGCCACTCGGAAGTGGATAAGGGACTCTCACTCTCTCGCTCTTGGATTCTTACTCACGGATTTTAATTCAACGTTGTAGGAGTCTCGCTGTTTACAGATCGTTTTTAGTGTTCCTAACGAACATCCCCACATGTTCGTTACAAGTTACAAGGGTCAAATGGAGGAGTTGAGCGAACATTAGGGTTAGTAAACACGAAACGCGACTGGTGTGATCACAAGGATTGAGCGGGAAAATGAGTGGTGCGGTCACAAGGGTCAAGTGTAAAAAACGAGAGGACTCACTCAATTTCCCCGTTTGAACCTTGTGTATTCACAAGTCATCACAAGAGTCTAGTGGGATTAGAGTAATCACAAGGCCCTTAAGGGCCTATATTACACCACCGTCTATCCTTTGACCCTTGTCATCATTCCCTTCGTTTGACATTTGTGATCACTCCACTCGTCTGCCTTATTTGATCCTCACGCTCACTATGCCATACGGGGTATCTTATTGAATTTTCTATACGACTTCCAATAGGATTTCCTATTGGGATCTGACATGGAGGCTATGGGGCTTTCTATGGAGGTCATACGGGGGCATATCGGGGTTAGATGGGAGTCATATGGGGTATCATATGGGTGGTATATTGGTTCATATGGGAGTTATCAGAAACCCCATACGGCATCCTATAGCATCCTATAGAACTCCCATGGGAAATCTTACAGGAAATCTTGTAGGAAATCTGATAGAAAAAATAATACAGGAAATGTTCGAATCCTCAAAATTCACATTACATTGAAAAATTAATGGAATTCCAAAATTTTGAGCAGCACAGATTAACACGAGAATTCCTCAACATAAATTTTCAATGAAAACATAAATATTTAGTGCGGAATCACACTCAATTTTAAATTAATTGAAAATTCAAGAATATATTAAATGAAATTCTACTGATTTCTATAAATTTTCATATAACAATGGAACTAAAAGTTACAGGTCTTCTTTATTTTTCCATGAAATTATTATTTTTCAATGACGAAATTTGTTGAAATTTCAATGGAACTAAAATGTCATAAAAATTTACAAGAAGTGTACCAAAAATTCCAGGTAAAAATATTCAATAGTGCATAAAATTGTTACTTAAGAGGGAAAATTTATTTTTTACTTAAGATATTTTTCCACATTTTTTACGTAAAAATTCCCGAAAGAGCATTTCCCATCACTTTCACTTATTGCTCCGAAATTTTTCCTGAAATTTTAGCTGCGTATAACGTTTTCATATCAAATTCTGAATTTTGTAATGAAAAAATTGTTTTTCCAAATACTATTAATTCGAAACGTATTTGAAATGTACAGTTTTGGTATGTTGCCTCGTATCAGTAAGAGCATATACTTTTTCTCAAATTGATAATTAATGAACAACACATTCCAAAATGATGACGTCCAACGTTATTAATGTAATCACCACCTATAAACCGCGACGCGAGCGACGAAAAGGAGTAGTGCTAACACTTCACGATGTCTTGTAACGTAGTAGTAGGTGTACTGTTCCTATTTTTATGCTATTCAAATATTAATGGGTCTCCAGGTTATCCACCCAGTCCAGTTAGGTTTGCGAATCGAACTGGTATTGTTTATACGACTAAAGGTCCGGTTCGAGGAGAAATATTAACAACGGTCGAGAAGAATATTAGTTATGCATCGTTCAATGGAATCCCGTTCGCTAAACCTCCTGTGGGAAATCTCCGCTTTCAGGTAATCATTAGTGGTCAATTGATCCACCACAATTGTCGATTTATTGTCCACAATCTTGATTTATCTAGCTAAATTATTCTTCTAACCGCTTGTATTCATATTACAATTTCTCCTACTACTCCGGGCCATTATTGTGTTTTTCGGCAATGTTTGCCGAAAACCGCAATAATGGCCTGGAGTAATAGGCGAAATTGCAATTTGATTCATCTAGGCTCCGGTGGAAGCCGACAGCTGGACGGAGGCACTTGAAACTGTAGGACAAAGGAAAGGTTGTCCACAATTCGATACAGAATATATTGGTGATGAAGACTGTCTATTTATCAACGTTTACACTCCTCAAGTAAGAATCAATTAATGTGAAATAAAACTCACTAAACATAGCACTTATGTAAAGAGGAAAAATATCGAAAAAATTCCGTTCTTTACCATTACAAGCAGAAGCTTTTTTCTAAACAAGTAAGGGACAGCGAACATATGACAGTGAGCATGTCACGGAGCGTTTTTTACGCCATCAAAACATTGATGGCGGACTTCCGAATGGTCTGACATATTACAAAAGTTTAGTCTTATAACACTCACTAGCAACAAAAATTTCAAATGGTTGCTGCAACCTCCATGGGTGCTATAAAAATTCCTGTTTCGAATACTTCGTATGAACGGGCAGACACATACATATTTTCTGTCCAAATTTCAAATTATCACGATTTCTGCACAAGCTAGTGATTACAAAGTTTTTTTTAATGAAAAAACGGAAATATCGTAAACTTTTTATGTACGGGTGTATATGTTTTCATCGATTTAGATAGAAGCCATCGAAACGAATATTTTGAAAACAAAAAAATCGAAATTGGTCCACTAGTTTTTATGTTATTTGCAGAAAACGATTTAAAAACGAATTGCTTTGTTTCAAAAATTATTAGATCGATCGGACTGAAATTTTTCAGAGTTAGTCCCCGTTAAGACTTATAATCTGACAAAATGTCAGAATTTTTTGGAACTGCTTTAGCCACTTAATTACTCAATTTTCTAAAAATTGACCACAGGGAAAGTGGCGGTGGACATGCGCACATACAGAAATGGTCGCCAAACTTCGTATCTTTATGTTTCAAACCATTGTACATAATTTACAATGAAAATTAGAGAATGTCAAAATTGGACGATTACAATGCTTCCATTCGGAAGCAAAATAGGAAAAATTACCATTACTCCAATTTTTTCTTCCTGCACAAATTGGATAATTTTTACAAAAATTAGGGTAAAATGTCCTGTGCAAAATAGTTTTTGTTGTACGAAGCTGAACATTTTCCGATGCTCCGAAATAAAAACCAATTTTATTTCCTGCGATTAGCAATTCAACTATTGTTCCTGTTCAGTCGATCAGTTCCTAAAACCGATTGAGGGTTCCCAAAAACCAATTTATATTTTGCGGATGAAAATATTATCCGCTTTAATCTACCCTCAGACGGAATTCAACTCCCATCATAATGGCACACGACCTGTGATGGTATGGATTCATGGTGGCCTCTTTACTGTGGGATCAGCAAATAGTTCACTCTTCGGTCCTGATTTCCTGCTTGAAGAGGACGTCGTGGTCGTATACATAAAATATCGTCTAGGTGCACTTGGTAAATATTCACATTCCCAATAACTTCCCATCGATTTTTTAAACTTTATCCTCTTTTTAGGATTCTTATCATTAAATCATCCAAATGCCACCGGCAATGCTGGCTTGAAGGATCAAATACTTGGTTTGAAGTGGGTGCAAGAAAACATGGGAAAATTTGGTGGTGATCCAGATCAAGTTACAATATTCGGATACGGCTCCGGAGCAGTTTCAGTGGAACTCCTCACGCTTTCCGAACAATCTAAAGGTGCTGAAATTAATGATTAACTCTATATACAGGGTGACGTCAGCACCTTATTTACACATTTTAGGCAAATATAGAATAGAAAATCGGGAATTCAATGGTACAAAAATGACTAAATTCCGATAATGGACTTTTAAATGGTGAACATTAGAATTTTTCAATACTTCAGCCAATTATATTGCGATTGACTACCGCCATGATTAGAAATGATGACGCAGTTACCAATGGGACTTGATATGATAGTTAATTTCGCTCTTCATGTTGATAAAATTATCGGTTTATGGCTGCAATGAATATTGCTCACCGTCGCACATAATGGTGCTCCAACTATCGCGCATAATGTTGGTAAAATCATCGCGGTAAATATCGCCATAATTGTCGTACTATCGCCCTTTTCAATCATGGCAGCATGGCGGGAGTCTACCATGATGTTATTGGCTAAATCATTGAAAAATTCTAACGCTCAGTATTCAAAAATTTATTATCGTAATTTCATAATTCTTATGTCATTGAATTACTGATTATCCATTCTATATTTCCTCACAATTCGTAAACAAGGTGCTGATATCACCCTGTACGTTAATTTGTGATTTAGTTACAGTGGACATCTCATGCGCACCTACCACCTTTCACCGTGGGTAGCTTTCTCTTTATTGTTAGTTTTTCATTCCAATGCTTTAATTTTACGTAAAAAACACATCAGCCACAGATTGTCACTGGTCAAAAGCGTAAACTTGGATTCTTGAAAAAAAAATTTAATTAAAGAGAAGAAAATGATACGTTCTCGGGTTTTTAACATGAGATGGCCAATATCAAGGGTTACAAGTCAAGTTTATCAAGTTGAGGTGATATTGTTGACGGAATATATTTTCATCTGTAGGGCTATACCATAGATCGATTTCCATGAGCGGTTCTCCTTTTAACGATTGGGTAATCTCTTCAACGGATGAAGCAATGTCAAATGCGTACCTTCTTGGTTCGGCATTGAATTTGAATGATTCCCAGCCAGAGGATGAATTCTTGAAAGCATTGTCTCGAGCTCCGGCTCAGGATATTGTAATGGCTACTCAAAAAATTTTTAATATGAAAAATAAAAGTAAAGGCACACCGTTTGACGGACTGTTCAAGCCCGTTGTCGAAGACGAACTAGTATCGAAAGATGCCGTTTTGAGCGGGAATTTATATGCCAAATATGGGAGAGGAGAATTCCATGATCTGCCACATTTAATAGGATTTGTAGATGCCGAAGTCGCTGGGCTCTTCCCTCCGACACTAAGGTATTTACCAGGAGTAACGGACGAGAACGGTAAGAAATTATGAGACAGTGTAGGTACTAGGGATGCGAAATGACGTCACGTTTTAAAATCTCTCACGTCACAAAAATATAACGGTCATATGTGACCGTCATAAATTTTTCTGTTACAAAAGCTTGTCACAAATTTTCAAATTGCACCGGTTTTTCGATGCAAGGGTTTACTTGCTAACGCGCCTATCGCCTGAAGGCCTTCAGGGAGAGAATGTTGAATGTAGAATAAATTTTTCAGTTGAAAATTTCCGTAGAATATATCCAGTTTCAAAATTGTGTGTAATTTTCAAATGAATATCATGTCAAAAATTGTGATGAAAAATTGGTGCGAAATCATTTATTTTATTCATTGATTTCAACTGTTCTCAGTGAGAAAAATCACACTTAGTCAATAAACTCGGCACTGATTTTTCTTTTTTAAACTGAAACACGACTGACACGCATGTTGAAGCTTTGTGATTGTCCGTCCATGGAGGTAATCATGGGGAATTTTCGAATTTCGAACTAGTTGCCTCCACCTGGGGTGCCACTAATTAGATGGGATGTGAGGGTCACGGGGTAAAACAGTCACGTTTGTGTCATGTGACAATAAATTGTCATAGTTGGCCGTATCACATGACCGTCACTGAAATGTCATATGACCGATCAGTGACGTGTCATGTAATTTTTTCGCATCCCTGGTAGGTACTTCATGTTCATTGGCCTTCTCATATGGGATCAATTTACAGCTGGAGAACTATTGGATAAGTTAGTCACAAAAGTAAAGTCTATGAAGCGACCACCCGCGCATTTGCTCTCTTTTTTCAAAGACTACGAGAAAATGAGATCTGAAGGAGCGACTGAAACTGAGGAGAAAGAGGATCTTATTAATAAGGCTGTACAAGTGAGGACACTATTGTTGGAATAATGAAGAATTACAATTTTTTGATTTATAAATAACGAGTGGTCATTAAAACAGAGGTTTCCATTGCTTAGATCACATCGGATTTTTTCTATGTCAGCGGGATAACAACAACGCAATGGTGGAGAGCAGGGATGACTGCACCGATTTATTACTATCGAAATTCATTTAAGGACGGGGGACTTGAGCATACCATAGACGGAATAAAATTACACGGTTCAGAATCACTACTTTGTTTCTATTATATTATTTGATAATGAAACAAATGACTTAATGATGTCACTTATATGAATGTAGACGTTGGACATAACGATGATCTCGCTCAGATATTCTGGATGCCATCTTTGAATGCAGAGACGATTGGTAACAGTAGCAGCATCAGCTTGCGGCGAAAAAGAATGGTTAGAATGTGGACGAACTTCGCTAAATGTGGGTAAGCAAATTATTTATCATTTATTATTTCGGAGCTTGATTAATTTTAGACGTGCTTATTGATGAGATGAGAAGAGGAATTGGCACATCTCTAAGCGTTTTCAGACCGCTTAACGGTCATTTTACATCTAGATATATAGAGCACGACGACAAATATCGTTGATCATGTTACCGTGTTACTTCAAAATTAGGCCCCCGGGTTGAGCCTTAGACCCCAGAGCTCTTCCAATTTTAGTAACAGATAGCCTGCTTCAGGCACCCTTTGTTTAAGAGAGTTCTTTAATTAGTTTTCAAATGAGAAGATTTACGACATCAATTACCCAATGAAAAATTTCATATGACTGTTTTTCTGTAATTGAGCTTTATAGATTTTATATGTAGTCCACACGCCAATGCAGGTTCTGTATCGGTGATGGGGTCCCCGAGGTAACTTGGGTTAATTCTATGTTTTTTCGACCGCTGATTCCGAATTTGTTGGTTATCTGGCCGGAAAGTTAGCGGTTTAATTGTTATTATTAATTTAATTGTTTAAAACGCCATATCTCGCAACCTATGGCAGATAAGAAAAAAAGTCGAATTCAATAATGTTCCTTTATCTATTTGCAATAACTGTTGTTCTTTATAAAATTTTTATTCACTCATTAGTTGACGAGATATACGCAAAGAAAGAGTTACGGTACCGAGCGCGTGCTACGGAGCCGCCGAGGAGTCGAATTCCCATACGCAAGGACCCGAACGCGGGCTCTCTCGTCATATCCTCTCTATGCCCGTATTTTTATGCGATTTTTTTTAAACAAACAGCTTTAACTATCATAAAAGTTCATACAAGAGAGTTGAAATTTTAGTTTTTAGAGATTTATTCCTAATTTCTTTGAGTATCCAGCCTCAATTAGTAATTGTTCACAGTCAAGGAAGTTTGATTGAAATTTCCAGTACACTTCTCGTAAATTTTCATCGCACTTCAGTTCCACTGAAATTTTTAGGAATTTTGTAATTGAAAATTCGAAATTTTATGGACAAATCAATAAAAACTGGAGATTTCAGTTCAATGATTCCATAGAAATTAATAAAAATCAGGAAGATTCGAGTGAACATATTCTCAAATTTTCAATCAATGGAAAATTCTGCGTAATTTGGTACTGACTATTTATGTTTTTATTGAATATCCGAGTGAATAGGAGAATCCTCATCTCCCTGTTACCCAAAGATTTAGAGTTCCATTGAATAATCAGTGAAATGTGAACTTCCATGATTTTTTTTCTCCTGAACTGAATTCAATGTCACTCTCTTGAAAATTGCTCGTCAACAGTCCATGGAATTTCAATTTCTTTCTAACAGTGTTTACACTCAGTAGAGTTACTTATAGCGCTTTCGGCTATTACTGAAATCTAGTCAAATTTTATCCAAGATTGATACAGTGTTTCATTCAATAATGAGGAAAATTCTTCTGAAGTCGCAACTGCCACCTCAACGTGGATCAAGTTTTCCACAGAGCGTGTGCCCATGCGCGGCTGGACACAAGCGATCGGCAGCGTAACTATTTCGGCGCGTATATCTCGTCAACTAATAAGTTAATCAAAATTTTGCAAAACAATGTTTGGTGAATGACTAAATTTAGGGTGGATGTGGGATGAAAATGTGGAGGGAGTTGTTGAGAAAATTACTGATGAGCCGGATTTAAAAACCACACTTTATTTTGTGGGATCGAACCACTTTGTCAATTAATTATTACACTCTTTGGTCTTAAATTGTCGAATGTCTAATTAAATTGATGATTGTCTCTTCACTTTCAATTCGTTGAGTCACTGAATTTATACTGAGTTAATTAACAGAGGTGATGTACTGAACAAAACGGTGATCTTACAAAGACCGGTGATGTACTTGATTACTAGTGAGCTAGGTGAGGTTCAAAGAGCTACTGTACTCGGTGAGGTGCGATATAAAACTTGTACAGGTGATTTGCCCGAGATAGACTTGTACGGTGAGAGGCTAAGCCTAAACTGATTCGCGTGTGTTTCGGTGACTTATGACTGATGACCCGAAGGGTCCCGGAGATTTTCGAAGTAGGCCGATAGTCGACCAGAATGTTCTGGAATTTTAGTTGCGTTTCAAACACATAAAAGTAATTGCAAATAAATAAAGAAACATTATTGAATTGGGCTTTTTTTCGTATCTATCATAGGTTGCGAGATACGGCGTTTTGAACAATTAAATTATTAATAACAATTAAACCGCTAATTTTCCGACCGGATAACCAACAAATTCGGAATCAACGGCCGAAAAAACATAGAATTAACCCAAGTTACCTCGGGGACCCCATCACCGATACAGAACCTGCATTGGCGTATGGACTAATGATAATAATAAATAAGATAAGTGCTACGAAATTTTTCTGATTTTTTTGGAATTCTATCCTAAGGTAATATTCACTAAATTTTCAATTTCTATTTCCTCATTAATCATAATTTTATTTAAATTTTTAAACAAAATCATGAAGAAAATGAAAAAAAAGAATGAAAAAAGAAAAGATGAAAAAAAAAGTATCAAAATGACGGTCAGATAACATCTAGATAGACGATTTTTCAGCATAAATGACAACGAGAAAAAATTACTGACAATTGGGTAATTTAATTAACCGGTTAGTTTGGATCACTAGGTATGCGTCAAGTCAGAAATGGTAAATTTACGGCTGACTGGACGCATGTAAAAAATTACCGTCATTTTGCATTGCTAGTTACAGTACTAGTAAAATTCCTTCATAATCAATATAATCATAGAACCTTTTCTGTTCTTCTCTATAGCTATCCTACTCGGATCGACATGACTGATCCATTTTTGCAAGTCAAGTGGCTTCCCTCGTTTGTCGGTAGAAACTACTTGGAAATCGGTGAAAATATAACGATGAAGTATGACCTGCCTAAACTTTCCACCGAATAAGCAGAAGCGGTTTCATCACCTAACGGAAGAAAAATGTACGGTTGCTAATTCGCCAGACTTACATTTATAAATTCATCTATACTAAGCGTAATAATTGATCCCAAAGGATGTTTCATTAAAAAGATTTATCAGTTTTAAGAGACGGATGAATTTGATTTGAATTGAAGTATCGGTGTCTATATAACTCTTTTCAATCTTTCCTGGCAGCAGAATCATCACCTGTTAGAGCGTTGTCGGGTAGACTAATTGCACCGGCAATAGCCACTTCTCGTCTGGACATCATTGTGGCCGCTGTGCAAATGTTTGTTGTCTAAATTTGTAAAATAATTTCCGAGAGTCGATAGTTTGTGGGACCCGAGGGTCATCCGAGGACTTCTTTGCCGTTTGTGGAGCTTTCGGGGTTACTGATCGACGTGTATTCTTCTTTTTATCGGTGAGCGGTGGTTCCCTAAAAAGAACTTTGTAAATTTGCGTGTCTCACGAGGTGTGGAACCAGCCTTTTGTTTCTCGGACGCTTGGTCCGTAGCGTTGACGCCATTAGAGTTTTCCACGATTTTGGACCGGTTCTCACTCCTCGTTCGACAGAGGAATATATTTTTCGGGTCCATTCGAATCTTTGCTCTTTGATATCGCTAATTTGTCGGCAATTTGGTTTGTTAAAATTCTCTCGAGTTCAGTGATCTTAACGGAATTTTTGTGTCATTTATTAGACTCTCGTTTCGCCATCGCCGTGTAATATTATCGATTTTTCGGCGGTTTGGAATCTCGAGGTCAGTCGTGTTATTTCCTCGGGATTATTACCTTTGCCTCTCAGTTAACGTTTGGCCGATTCAACATCGCTTTTACTTTCGGCTTAAATAATATTTCGTTTGGGAATTTATCGTGTTTTTAAAAGTGGGATTGTAGCGCATTTTCGGCGCTCGATTTTTATTTCGTCGCCGGTTGATATTCTATCAGTTGCCGGCTCTGTTGTTTACATTCTCTCGAGGCAATCCCCCTCTCAAACTCACGTGGAGTTGCCTCTCCCTATCGCCACTCTGCTGGACGCGCTTAGCGCTCGGGGTAATAGTACCTCCCTTCTCTGCGATTATCTGACTTCGAGTAAATTGACTAGTTTTATCATCTTCTGACTATCTTTTCACTTTCTTTGACTTTAACTTACAATTTCGACTAGTATTTTATTCTCTGACATATCGCAGAGGTAGAGGTTGTGTTGTGTCGAGTTATTTGTCTTTATTTTACTTATTTGTTAATTTTTCCCCGAGTTCGGAGGGAGAGATTGAGAGATCAAGATGGGGTTTTATTGTTGCATTTATAATCTAACTTCTAGCTATTTTGAATTGAATTATCATTTTTCTCCGTACAATAATTCGTTATTATTTTGCAAACCCAGTCATTTCAGGATTTCAATTGGAGCAGCATCTTGGACCCAGCCGTCTCCGCGGATGATATACTGAGCTGTCGGCTGCTGTTCTGTCATTTGTGATTCATTCGGAATTTGATTTTGATTTTTGTTCGTTTTCGGAAAAACGATCTGGCGCCCAATTATTGGTTTTGAATTTGGACGTCAAGGGCTGCGTATTTTCGTTCCATTTCCGCAGAGGAGCGAAATACGTCACAGCTTTTTTGGCACCCAACGTGGGGCACGTGATTTAATTGCGGAAAAATTATTTTATTGATTTTCGTCGCGATTCTTGAGGATTTCTCGGATTCGGTAAATTTGAATTGTCAATTTTGTTTCGGAACTGTTTTTTTTTATTGGCGTTTCCGACCCTTGACATCGAGTCACGCGTCGGAGACGCTCGAGTTTTATTTACGGTGGGGATAATCTGCCATCGCGGAGATTTAGTTTTATTTTATTTTGATGCGATCGATTTCATTCCGTCTTTTGTTTCGGGATTTATTTTTCGACACTTTTCGGGTATTGCGATCAGTTTCGTGAGTTATCTCGGATTTTGATGATCTACTCTTTTGATTTTTGGTCCTGAATCTGAAATAACAGGTTTTTCGTTTATTTTGGCAAATGAGAGTCAGTGCATATTTCATTATGCACTGACTCTCGCTGATTATTGCGCAGAGTGTGTCTTGTGGATATCTTTTGTGATTTGTTTGTCTTTTTTTTTTGTGAATTTGTTTATTTGTAAATTAGATTCGCCATTGATTTCGTGATTTGGTGGCGACATTTAAATATTTTTGAGGCGACTTTAAAGCGATATTATTTTATTTAAATTCGATTTAAGTTGGAATTGATCTGATTTTTTTTTGTAATTTCCCTTTTTCAGCGGGTTGGCCATGCCGGAGCCAACCATGTTTAACAATACGACAATGAATGGTGAAGGGTCGCCCACAGATGATGCTAATCAAGGGGGGTTTTCTATTGATCAATGGATTGAATCGTTGTCTATCGTCCAAGTAAGGGAAATTTTACGTTCGTATCGCGCTAGCGAGGTTGGGGATATTGAGATCTTACGCGATCGTTTAACTCGTGCTACTAGGAGGGCTCAGTTCCCAAACATGACGTGGGCTGAGGCCGATGAATTTTATGCTTTGCCGATGATTGCGTTATTCTCGGGTATGGGGGGTTCGTCTGCCCCAGTTTTCACCATGACTGGATCCGGTTCTTCTTGTCCTTCTGTTTCTGTCGCTACAGCCGGAATTAACGGGCAGAATACTCATGTGTCGTTTAGTATGTCTACGTACCCTATGTCGCCAGTTGACCCTGGAGCTACTAGTTCTTCACATTGTAATGTACCGGTTTCTAGCTCAGATTTGCGATTTGGTCTCGGATCGGGACATACCAATTTGGGGAGTGGTTGTGATCAACAATGAGGAACAGAGTTTCATGGATCTCGACGTGAGTTGGAGTCAGGAGATCCTGTTTCTTATCGTAGAGTTCGTATTGATGGGGTGTACACATAAGTCGTCTTGCACATAAGTCCACAGACTTATGTCTGTGGACTTATGTGCAAGTTGCACCCGGGGTTCAGGGTTCTTCCTAGGATTTTGTATCTCGAGGTTCATCTGGGACCTCACGTTCGAACTTTAGCGCTTTCGATCGCGTTCACTCGTGGAAGCTTAGTTTTTCCAGGTACAAGGGGGAAAACATTGAAGATTTCATGAGAAGGGTTACCATTTGTAAAGAGGCTTGCAACATGAGTGACGAGGATTTGTTTCGCGTGATGCCAGTATTGTTGAGGGACATTGCTTTTAATTGGTGGGAAGAAAGTAATCGTTTTTCCAATTATCAAGAGTTCCATTGGGCGTTCTTGCGTCGTTTCTCTAATACCGAATTTAAGAAGTGCGCAGTGCATGATATCGTGGTAAGAACTCAGGGTGCATTGGAGAGTGGATCGGATTATATCGATAATATAAGGTTGATGATGTGAACTCATTCTCAGGACACTCATTTCTCGATCGAGGCTAGGTTGGATATCGCTTTCGGGAATTTGAGGAGGGAATATCATCACATGATTTCTCGTCGTCAATTTTCTACTTTTGATGAGCTGGAGGAACTTCTTCAAGATCTCGATGAACGCCGAGATTTGCTGAGGCTTGTCGCGCCGCCTGCTGTTGGGGATACTATCTATCCAGCTTGTACTTATGCTTCTGAGAAGTACAAGAGAAACGAAAAGAAGGCAGGTGGGGTCCCGGTTTGTGCTGTTGACCTCTCGGTCAGGGGGAGTTTCGAATCATCGAAGAAGGGGGTTCGACCTAAAAAGAGCGGGGGAGGGAAAAAAAAATTTCGAAACCTACTGCTGCTGGTGGACCTTTACAGTCGTCTTTTCCTGTGATTCCTGTTAATGTCGTGTCATCAGGGAATGCAGCAGCTTCCGCTGGTCGGCCAAATTTGTGTTGTAACTGTGGCGGAAGGACATTATCGTGCGGGTTGTTCGAAGCCATCTGTCGGAATCTTTTGTTTTGGTTGTGGCAAGTTGGAGTGAAGACTCCCCAATGTAGTAGTTGTCGTACCAAGGCATCGAATTTGGGAAACCCCAGCGGGAAACAGTAGTTGATTCCGCTCTGTCTCCTGTTGAAAAAGGGATCAGTCGTGTTGAATTTGTTGACGATTTGGCTTCACGTAATGTTCAGTTGCCAGGGGTCACAGATAGGAGTATTGTTGGATTTTCGGTTCGAGATTTTGGCGTTGCAGATGCGGCACCGGTTTTAGAGGCTGGGGAAGGGCAAAACAGTTTTTCGGTGCTTGGCCAGCCGAGGATTACTCAAGACAATTGCTTATTCGGTATCCCGGTTCATTCACGTATTTTTCTTCCTATCGGGTCGGTAAGTTTGAACATGTTGTTAGATCCGGGTGCTTCAAGATCTTGTATTCGTCACGTTCCGAATGATTGGATTGAAAATTTGGGTTTAGAAGTTTCACGTTCGTCTTGTTCAAAGGTTGTATGTGCGAACGGGGTGACGGAAACTGTCTACGGGACTGTTGTTATTTCAGTCAACCTGAAAGGAGTGAAACATGACGTCGAGTTTCTGATCACATCTGGGTTGAAGGATCCACTGATTTTAGGTGTCGAGGCATTGCGGATCTTTGGAATAGTGATAGATGGTGGTACCTCGGAGTGGTGGTTATCCGGTGGGAATGAACGCTACTCTTTTGGATGTAAGGATCAAGATTCGCCTTTGGAAATTGCAAGGCTACAGGAAACTTCCGGTGAAGAGCGCACGCGCATTCAGGCTCTTGTCGAGAAATATCGATATCGACGGGGGAAATCAGGGTTTACTTCTTTGATTACTGATGAAATTGTAGGTCCCAGCGATCACCCGCCAATTACGCAGCGGGTTTACTTAGTATCTCCGCCTATCTCGTATGAGATGCAACCACAGGCTAAAGAATTATTAGAGGCGGGGGTAATTGAAGAATCATCTAGTCCCTGGACAAATCCGGTGGTGATGGTTAAACAAAAGGACAAGTATAGGATGTGTATCGATTACAGGAAATTTAACAAAATCACAAAGGATTGTTACATGATTCCTAAATTAACTTGTAATCTAGATAAACTGCGGTCTGCAAAGTTCATTACGATGCTTGATCTTAAGAATACATACCACCAGGTATCGGTGGCTAAGAACTCGCGCGAGTTTACCGCTTTTGTCGTTCCGGGGCTCGGGTTTTATCAATAAGTGGGCATGTCATTTGGCTTGACGAATGCCCCGGCTACGTTCCAGCGTTTAGTCGACAAGATTGTTACGCCGGATATGTAGCCGCATTGTTTCGCGTACCTCGATGATATCATTATAACTACCGAGTTTTTCGAGAAACATGTGGAAGTATTGAAGGAAGTTTTGATTAAATTATAGGATGCAAAACTGTAAGTTAATCCTGAAAAGTATGTTTTTTGTTGTTCACGAGTCCAGTACCTCGGTTTTGTCGTTGACGAGGATAGTTTACATATCGATCCCGAAAAAGATGCTCTGGTACCGGATTTTCCGATTCCGAAGAATTTACGTCAGTTACGGCGTTTTCTGGAAATGTCTTCGCGGTATCACAGATTTATTAAGAATTATTCGATGATGGCAGAACCCCTTACGTGATTACTTCGAAAGTCGGTCAAGTGGGAGTGGGAAAATGATCAACAGCGAGCTTTTGCTGAATTGAAAGTTGCGCTCTCTGTTGCTCCTTTTTGACGTATCCGGATTTTGACGCTCCTTTCGAATTGCATACCGATGCTAGCGCATATGGTCTGGATGCTGTTTTAGTTCAGAGAATTGAAGAAATTGACTATGTTATTGGTTTTGCGAAGCCGACGTTAAATTCTACCGAGCGTAACTATTCAGTTACTGAGAAAGAATGTTTAGGAGTTCTCTGGGGTATCGAACGTTTTCGTCGATATATCGAGGGATTCCATTTTACGGTTGTCACTGATGATAGTGGTTTGCGGTGGTTGAGTAATCTTAAAGATCCTAAAGGTCGTTTGAATCGTTGGGCTTTAATCTTCAAGGCTACGATTTTGATATAGTTCATCGTAAAGGGGCTGTGCAGTACGTTCCTGACGCACTTTCTCGTATATTCGAGAATGATTTCGTTGATCATGAGTTGCCTGCAATTGATGCTCTGGATGGGAATTTCGACAGCTTTTGCCCTATCGCGTGTATACGAGGATGATCTCGCCAATTGTGATTTGACGGAGATTGATGCTATAGAGGCCAATACGAACGTACAAGGAAAGCGTTTGTCACCAGCGGAAATTAGCAACGACTGGTATATTCGTCGTAAGGCGGAGGTAGAGAAGTTTCCGAAGAAATAGTTAGGTTGACGTGTTGAAGATGCTCAGCTTTACCGTTTCAAGCCGAATCCATTAGTATCGATTGTTGCTGAGGATCTAGAGGCATGGAAGCTTATTCCGCCGCGCGGCTATCACCGTGGGATTATCGCAGAAAATCATGAGCCTCCGTCCGCAGGGCATTTGGGTATTGAGAAGACACCTGTCCATCAAGTGGCGCCTCAGGTGTCGGAGGTGAGAGGCCACTGGTCAGTTCAATCGGTTGCGCAGATCAGTGAGATAAGCCATGCAACCATGCGAGAGGAGCGAGTGTGCGTGAGTGTGTGTGTGCGGAAAAGAATTCAGTGGAAAACCGAACACACACGCTTGTGTTGCGTTATCTTCTCATTGGCCCGGAATGTGTGAGGACATCGAAAATTTTGTGTGTGGTTGCGATGTTTGTCAAAATTCGAACGTCTCCCAACAGAAACCTGCGGGGTTAATGGGCCAGCGTTGCGTGCAGGAGCCTTGGGTTTTTCTTGCAATGGATATTATGGGTCCGTTTCCTCCATCTAAGGGTGGTTTTAGATACTTATGGGTCTGTCAAGACGTCTTTACTAAAATGATCGAAGTACAAGCGATAAGAAAAGCTGATGGTCCATCGATACTGAAGGTTTGTGAGGATCTGGTCGTCCATCATTATGGGACTCCAGAAATTTTGTTAACGGACAACGGTACTGAATTTGACAATAAGCGAATGCAGGAACTTCCCGAGGCCTTGCACATTTAGCACATGTTGGCACCACCGTACCATGCTCAGGCGAACTCAGTGGAAAGGGTTAACCGCGTGTTTAAGAGATTGTTGACAACAAGCTAAATATTATAATACGCATCACCGTGGTGTTCGTTTTGATGACTGTGATAGAGTTAGGTGTAAAACTCGTCAGTTATCAAATGCGGCGAAAGGCCAGGCAGCGAAGCTGATCAGGAAGTATTCTACTGAAGTCTTTCGTATATGGCGTGTCGGATTGCCACTTGTTTACCAAGTTTCAAATGATCTAGGTATAGTCGTGGGACGTCATCATGTTAAAGATCTTTTGGAAGCGCGCGATGATGCTGACGTTGTTGTTCATTTGTCGGATGATGACGAGTAATTTCGGATATTATTCGTTGTTGGGTCCCCGAATAGGATGCGAGGACGCTGAGTCCGGATAGAAGGTTAAATAAATAGACACCAACACTGCCGAATTATCATAGTCACAGACATTTAATCACTACAATAAGTTAACTAATAGAAAAGAGTATTCCCGTCGAGACTCGATATAAATTTAAATGCTGATAATGAACCAGGCTTGTTAATAGCTTGAGCGGATTGTACGCATTCGATGCGAGTCTAATGAATACTGAAAAAATCCCGACAAATCGACACTGATCGCGCCGATAACAAATATGCAATTTAGGGCGGACCGCGACAGGTGTCGCAAAAACCCCGCAAGTCAGTCAAAAGTGATAGATCCAGTCCGCAACATTCTCTCCCATTTGGCAATGACTATTGGCAAAATCCTGCCTGTAACATAAACTCAGACATAAACATCAATATGCAAAAACATTCAAGAAATAAAATAAAAGTGAAAACACAAAAATCAATTAACAGAACCCTAGTGTCCGGCAGTCGGGTGGAGCGACCTCGACAGGTAGAGGACAGATCTTGACGATCGGCCTCGGGCAACTCAATGACTGTATCTTGATCGTAACAACTCTGCATAGCCCATCTTTACCAGGATGCAATTCAGTCAGCGGGAATCAGTCATCCACCAGAAGCACCAACGACCCCAGTTGAACGTTTGGAGTGGCCCTGTGCCACTTGTTGATCTCCTGTAGCTTCTGGATGTACTCCATCGATCACTGTTCCCAGAATTTCTCCACCATTCGTCGAACCAGTTGATATCTCGAAAGCTTCGCCATCGATAAATGAGCCAAAGAAGGCTCCGGCATAATAGAGATAGCAGACCCAATAATAAAATGACCAGGAGTCAACACTGCGAACTCATCAGGCTCATCAGGCAGCCCCCACAGCGGCCGAGAATTCAATATAACCTCAATCTGCGTCAGCAGCGTCGTAAACTTCTCGTAGGTCAGCTTAGCCTCCCCGATGACGCGCTTCAGATGAAACTTGGCTGACTTTACAGCCGCCTCCCACTTACCACCATGGTAAGGAGCACCAGGTGGATTGAAGATCCAATTGGTCCCATCCTTCGCTACACTGAGCGATGCTCTGACCCTCCTTACGAGTGTCGCTGAAAAGATCCCTGAGCTCTCTATCAGCTCCCACCAGGTTCGTCCCTTGGTCACCGGTGATCGTCTCCAGTTTCCACGCCTGGCCGTGAACCTCTTGTAGCACGCCCGGAAGCCCTCAGTGCTGTATTCTGTAGCCAGCTCCAGATGTACTGCAGAAGTGGTAAAACAGACGAACACCACCATAAATCCTTTGTAGGTCTTTGCTCCATGACCTCTCCAGGTCAGCAACGTCACAGGCCCTGCAGAATCAACACCACAGTGGAGAAAAGATCTAGCTGGAGTGATCCTTCTCAGCGGCAACTGTCCCATCAGCTGCTTAGCCACAGCTCCACGAAACCTAGCACAAGTCACACATCGTAAAATGAAACCCTTCACCGGCCTCCTGCCTCCGATGATCCAGTACTTCCTCCACAGAGTAGCTTGCATAAGCTGGACCCCGCCATGAAAGATATCCTGATGAACCTGAAACAGCATTAGCTCCATAAACCTTGAACTCGCTGGGAGCACCACTGGATGCTTGAAGTCCTCGTTCACGGCGGATTTATGCAGCCTCCCAGTGAGACGAATCAACCCTTCTCCGTCGAGAAATGGTACTAGGCGTAATAAAGGACTCCTCCGACCCACTTCCTTCGAGTCACTCAGCCCTTTTAGATCCTCAGCAAAAGACACCATCTGAATCTCGTTGATTCACAACTTTCGGGCCTGCTCGATCTCACCGGGCTCCAACACGAGATCACTGAACCTCCCAGCCTGCTTGTTCTGCTTCACGAGAAACACGCGACGACACCAAGCAGTCACGACAAGCAGCTTCCTCAAGGACTCGTACCGATGAATGACATCCCAGGACCGATACTTTTGGTCCACTACAGCAGCATGAACAGCTACTCCCCGTAGTTCAAGACCCTTAACCTCATTCACTGCAAACCTCTGCTCAGGGTTTGAGCCAACAAACCCTGAGCTCCAGTTGCCGCTGAGAAGAATCAGCCTCTGCTCAGGCCAAGAAAATTCCCCTCCCATCAACCAGCTGGAACCAGTCCACCACAATCGACTCTCAGCCAATTTTTTGCTGGATACTCCACTCGAAACCAGATCCGCAGGATTCTCCTCCCCCGGAATATGTCTCCAGCATGCTTGAGGCATCAATCTCTGGATCTCCTCCACTCTGTTCTTCACGAACTGCTTGTACTTCGCACCATGATTTGATCCACGTGAGAGCCACAGAGCGCCTTAACCACCGTCACCACATGTGACAATAAAGACGCTGCCATTAGCTCGAGCCTCGATATAGTAACCTTGACTGCACTCTTCTACCCCTCGATCGGAGCCCTTCGACTTTGAAGACATCAAGGTGACACTAACGTCGCCATCTAGATTCACAGTTCTCAGGTACACCGCCGCGCCATATGCAACTCCTGAGGCATCAGCAAACCCATGCAACTCGAGCTGGACAGCCTCACCATCACTCTTGAAGTGCCTCGGCACTTGAACCTCCTTCAAACCCTGGATATCTTGAGCGAACAGCCTCCAGCGACTCATCAACTCCTCCGCCAGCTGCTCTTTCCGACCGAGCTGTGGAGATCTACGATCTCCACAGCTCCTACACCAGAAGCTTGCCCCTTACGACGAACGGCGATATCTACCTGGGACAAAACAATTCGCTTGGTTAGTAAGTCACTTTCTAGCTGCTCCTTAGGAGAAAAGAAGAACACATCTCGAGCGGAATCCCAATTAAGACCGAGAGTTCGATGAATGTCCTGGTTATCAATCAGCAGAACTGACGAATCAGTGCAACAGCAATGCTTTGAAGAAGATCAGGTTTGTTGGACAACCGTCCACTTCTGCAAAATCATTCCCCCTAATGCAAAAACACTGTTGACCTCAGCAATCTGCTTCCTGCATTCCTCCTCCGTAGAAGCCCCCCCCCCCGTACACGTCGTCCATGTAAGTTGTCTTCAAAATAACCTCTTTGGCCTCAGGATGCGCGACAACCTCATCCTCAGCCAAGCGCCTCAATGTCCAGATCGCGAGGTAAGGAGCAGAACGCATACCATACGTCACCGTGTTCAGACGATACTCGATAATTTCCCCTGAGTCATCGTTCCACAGGATTCTCTGAAAATCTTAATCCTCTGAATCAAAATCTGTCTGAACACCTTGGCCACGCCCCCTAAATACATGAATTTGTGCTTTCTGTACCGAGTAATAACCTCTTTCTGAAGATCTTTTTATTATCTGAAACATAATGCCCTCCCTTACACAACGAGCATTGTTTACCAGACTTCTGCACATCCACCTGATGAACTTTGACTCCACCGGTACTGCTTCTCCCCTTGGAAAAGCTTTGAGAAGTCCTGACCCTGGCACTCGAGAAAAACCCACCAGCAGCATCTGCTTTGCAGGACTGGAACATCCGGATTGTGGACAGCAAAAACTTCCTGAGCTCCTTCCACGACGGAGGCTCCGATGAGGGCCCAAGATGTTTCTCCCATTCCAGAAGAGTTTCCCGATCCAGTTTCCTCTGGATCAAATTCACTAGTAAGTCATCTCATGACATCATAGGCCTCTTCAATGCCTCCAGCATCGTGAGCGCCTGGGTTACTTCCGAATACAACTCGTCCAATGCCATTGCAGAACCTTGAGTCACCGCTTTAGCGTCTATTAACATGCCTACAGCTACGTTCACTAGGGACCTTGTGTTATCATAGAACTCCATTAGCCTGTCCCAGACAAGCTGAAAATTATACTCAGAGGGCGCGACGTTCCTCACTCTCTTCTCCGCAGCACCGGTAAGATGCGCCTTAACGATGTACAACCGTTGAACAGACGTCAGGCTTGGATTTATGACGATTAAATTCAGGACCACATCCCGGAAGTTCACCCACTTGGCCGGGTCACCATCGAAGTCCGGAATCTCCCACTTCAGCAACTTCCATCCTGCTCCGCTACAACTGCTGTGTTCAGCTTATCCTTCTCCGCCTGCATCTTCTCCAGCGCCGCCAGGTAAACCTCCTCGCATGCTCTGTGATGCTTTTCCTTGAAGTAAACGTGCTCGTCCAGTATCTTCCGGACATCAGGCTTGGCACTGTACTTGTACCTCCACAGAGTCCCGTGGTTGTCCTCGTACTTATTCCACTTGACATCCAGGTTCCTCATCCGCGTCTCTATCCTGGCAATTGTGGCATCAGCTTGCATCAGAGTGCCGTAAGGTTCACCAATAGCTTCAGCCAACTCTGCTTGCGCGTCAAGCAGTGCCGAATAGATAGTCGACATGATCGATAAAAAAGAAAAACAACTAAAAAGGTAATTAACACAATCGCCAATGGTAAAACAGCCCCACTGACCGACGCAGGATAATGATTACCCATGTCGGCAATACTGCCTCCTTATTTATCGACCGCCAGATCACTCGCGCGGCCCTTACCAATACCAAGATGGCTGACTGCGTCCCGCCAAAACTGTTGCTCCTCGAGTCAAGCGAAGCATCTACGATAACGCTCCTAGCCCACTGCCGAGAAACGCCACGACGCCTCTCTGCTTAGCAAAGCCACAAAATGCTCCACTGCCAAGTGCCGTCAAGATGCTTCACTCCACGGACTCCACAGCACAGCCTTAATTCCAGCTTTCACTGTGCCAGCAACAGCTCCCTGCTCCTCGACGACCTCGGTGACCCCACAAATTGTCACACACCGAGAATTCAGCAAGACGCTATCCCCACATGCCACCAACGACAACAGACTCTCGACGCTTGGAGTAGCGCCGATAAAAGACCGGTCACCACAAGCCACACTTGTCCAGTCTGAAAACAAAGCCTCGAAAACTCCTTCCAGGCCGCAGAAATTGATCGCGGCAGAAATTAGTCCACTCGTGCCGCCAAAATTAACCTCTATTCGGCTCGAAGGACCAAAAATGTTGCGTCCCCGAATAGGATGGAAGGACGCTGAGTCTGGATAGAGGGTTAAATAAATAGACACGAACACTGACGAATTATCATAGTCACAGACATTTAATTACTACAATAAGTCAACTAATACAAAAGAGTATTCCGATCGAGACTGGATATAATTTTAAGTGCTGATAACTAACCAGCCTCGTTAATAGCTAGAGCGGACTGTACACACTCGAAGCGAGTCTAATGAATACTGAAAAAATCACGACAATTCGACACTAACGCTTGATTGCGTCGATAACTAATATGCAATTTAGGGCGGACTCCGACAGGTATCGCGAAAACCCCGAAAGTCAGTCAAAAGTGACAGATTCAGTTCGCAACATTCATCCTTGAAAAAATAAGTTTGAATTATTTAATTTTTTTTGGACTCCGCTCCGCGCGTCTAAGGATTATGGTTTATCGGCTTGGAGTTTTATTTCGATTACTTGGTTGTAATCGAAATGTCGTTTGTTGTAGTCGCGGTGATCGCTGAACTGAGTAACGAGCAGTGGCTTCGGGGACGCGATATCGTGCGTATGTTGGGTATGTTAGACCTAGACAGGCACACGAGTGCTATCGCGTCACTCCAGTCGCTGCTGGTGGAGACAATCTTCGAGAACGGGCTTCAGGTATCGAGGATGATCGAGTGTTCGTCACCGGTGGAGGCTGACGAGCAGAGGTTGAGTGAGGTCCCTCCTGTCTCAGAGGTGCCACTGCCGATGCCTTGGTATTCGCGCAAGACTTGTGGCATAGTTCAGGCCATGGTAATTATCAGGGAGATTGGGGTGAATACTGATCCTTGGCTAGTAGCAGAGGTCGGATGCGAGGATTCCGGAAGTCGCGCGAGCTGTTCGAATGGAGCTGTTATGGGTGGGGAGTCGAAGGTTAGGTATAGGTCATGTCCGTTCGTCACTAAGGATGAAGCATTGAGGAATGCCATCAAATAGGCTGATCGGCTCTTGATTGATTACCTGGCTTGGGGGGCACCTGTACAAGTTGTGAATTTTTACAACTGCCAAGATCCCAGACATCGTTTGGCGGATTGTTCGAGGATTACGGGGTTCACACGTAGCACGTTGTGTGGGTGTTGCGGAACCCAGAGGATTGTCCATAATGAATGCCCTTTTTACTACCCAGCTTTTTTCAATCTGATTCCACTGTCTTGGTACCGTGGAGCCAAGAATTGAGTTTCATCGCTCGAAAGTTTTACGGCGATTCGGTATCATCGTTCGTGTCTAGCGGCGTTAGATTTATGTCGCTCACTTTGTCGCTTTAGTTATGATTGGGTTTATTATTTATCTTTATATTATTTTGGCATATCATTGGCGAGCCCTGTAAAATATAAGATCATAACTATACGTTCTGTTTGATTTCATTCGTAGTTAGAACCACTGATATTCAATTGGATTTTGTTGTGTTCGGTGATTTCTTGACTCTTATGAATTTTGAAGACTGCCTAGTGGGGAGTGTTGCCTCGTCTGGAAATCGTGATTCAAGTTAGAGAAATGAACCATCGCCTCCGGTCTGGGGGAGAGCAAGTTGTAACGTGGTATTTCGTTTTGTCCTCGACCGTTCAGCGGTTATGGACTTCCAGAAGGGAAGTCACTTCATTGGCGCGGCGAGAGTCAGAATTAATTTTTGTTGGGCTTGTCTTGTATTAATTTATTTTTGGTTTGTATTGCTTCTATTGGGTGTGTGAATATGACTCTGTCCTTTTTTGTTCAAATAAAACACATTTGCTTGT